GAACCCAACATGAAGTGAAAGAGGACCCTGAAATTCCTGATTGCACTGCTTCTAGCTCTGGTATGATAGGCATGAGCCACCATGCCCAGCTCCAGATCTCTCTCTCTCTCTCTCTCTCTCTCTCTCTCTCTCTCTCTCTCTCTCTGACTCTGTCTCTCTCTTCAGTAGCAAGGATTCTTATTGTGAATACAGGAGATAACACAGCTAGATACATTTTTATGACAACTGTGGACTCCAGCACTTCTCTGTGAGAAGATTAGCCCATTATGTAAACAGACTATTGCCCAAAACAAAATCCAGCATTCAGGACAGTGGTCAAGATGGTGGACTATGCCAGGCGGTGGTGGTGCACACCTGTAATCCCAGCACTCGGGAGGCAGAGGCAAGTGGATCTCTGTGAGTTCGAGGCCAGCCTGGTCTACAGAGCTAGTCCAGGACAGGCTCTAAAGCTACAGAGAAACCCTGTCTCGAAACCCCCCCCCCAAAAAAAAAAAAAGATGGTGGACTGTGCATGGTGAAGAAAAAGAAAAAAGGCATTTCCTTGCTCTCTCTCCTCAGTACGATGCGTACAGCATGCAGCTCATCGGGTGGAAAATGTTTTCATTACAGAGAAGATGTGGATTTTTCCTCTTCCTCTCCGACACCAAAATCCCAGGCCTTGACCTGAACAAGGAAAGCAAAATAAGGTGATTTCAAGTGAACCTCAAGTCTACCTACTTACCTGCCATGTTTACTCTTGAACACACACATCCAGTAACCAGACGTGGAGCTTAGTGAGCCCATACCTAGCATGAATGAGGCCCTGGTTTGAGTTCTAGTAATGGGAAAGGTAAAACCGCAACAAGCCCATTTAGGATGCATTTACCAATATGAATTTAGTAGGCTCGGTTGTCTCCTGGAGGACGTTTTTGACCAAACTGGAGTTAAGCTAATTTCACTTGCAAGAGAGGCCCTTCGAGACTCGTATTTGCTCTGTGACATTTAGTAGCGAGTTGGCCCTCCAACTGCAGAGGCTCATTAGGCTAATAAAAAACACATAGTCTCTAGCTTCAGTGTGGAGAACCAGGGTCCTCCCAAGTCTGGCTGTTTGCTGGACCCAGCCCTCAGACAGGTTCAGCCCTGCTGACAAGGCTAGAAAATGTCAGGAGGTCACAGTTTTCCAGGTTCGTGGGTGTACATCTCTATTTGTCAATGCTTAGGTTGGTCACGGGGAAAGAAGCAAGGAGCCGAGGTTTGGGAATTGCTTAAGCGTTATTTACCCAGGAAGCAAGGATCAAAGTCCTTCTCTAGGACAAAGGATACAAAAATAGGTCACGAGGTCCCCCAATCAGCACAGCAAACATTTTTTAGCTAACATCCAACTTTAAAGCGGTGCTTTAAAGCAGAAGTTTCTTTCACAGAAAGATAATCGCTGAACTAAATGTCACTCGGGCCTCCTCTTAAAAATACCACGTCCTTATTTCAGAGCCAGGATTAAAGAACAGGGTCCCTGGGACCCCTCAAAGCATTCTAGAAGGCAATGGGCATGAATGTATTCAAGTCACGGGGTCTGAGCTTATGGGTTCATGGTGTTTGCTTTTTCTCTTCTAACTGGGACATCCATCTTGGGCAACTTGAAGGTGGTGGATCTTCACCTACTTGGGTGGCCTGGACAAGTCTTAGCCCCTGAGAGAGGGCTCTGGGCTCTTCTGTAAGGCTAGATGGCAATATCTCCAAAAAAATAGACATACGGATCAGTCTTGGTCCAAAGGGGCTCCACTTATCTGCTGAGTTCTTTTCAGTCCCACTTCCATGGCCTGTGGTGTTAGGATCTGGGCCAGGTAAGGCTGTGAAGGAAACAGACGTGAAGCAGCCTGTGGGTTTTTGCTGACTGGATGAGTGAGGGGGTGTTCTCTGTGCCAGGGTGAACATTCTGCAGCTTTAACTTCTGGACTGCTTCAGCCACTCAGAGGTACCTGGTCTCTTCAGAGGGAAGGCCCTTGCGGCATGTGTAGGCAGCATCTCTCAGTCCTGCCTGTTCCTCAAAATGCCAGATGCTCTCCTAGGTCCATTTGGTGGTGGGAGAATTCGTGATGACGTGGGAAGCTTTAGCTTTCACCGTGGGAATTTTGTCCAGTGTCAGTAGCTACTGATAGAGTCTCACTGTAGGGAGGTGACAACTGGCTTCTCCTTCCTCTGCTTGATGAAGTGCTGATATGTGCATTCTGGAATCTCTGGCTTCCAGGGGATGCTGCTCATGTCCAGTGGAGAAGGAGTCATGGGTGCAGGGTCCTCGAGGCCATCATCTTACCTGGATGCCTGACAACATAGTTCCATGGGTAGAGGCATCTTGTCTAGATGCTCATTGGGCCCAAGAACACAGTGAAATGATGTTAGACTATTCTGACGGATGTTACATGGGGAACACTATCCAGTGCTGCACACTGACAAAGCTTCCATTCAGAGGTTCTGCACACCTGCTGCAATCTGGCTACCAACCAGGCTGGAAGATCCAGATCTCCATCAGGGGCTGTGCCACAGCACAGAGCCAAGCCATTATGAAAGTACAACATCCACAGTCCACACTACTCCAGCACTGCTGGATTTCTTCTTCTTCCCATCCATACATGTATCCAACCCTCCAACTATCCATCCATCCTGCCACCTCACTAGACCTATATATCACATGGCTCTCGATGGTCTCTCCATGTCAATCCCATGCCAGAAGGAACCTGATAGCAGAAGTACCTAGGCTACAGTAGTAAATATAAGAGCCAGATTCTCTACTAGATCTGGGGTTCCTGGAGGGAGAATCTCTCACTAAACATGGTTTAGGTCCTGTTTTCCTTTCCAATCTCATGTTACCTACTCATTCTCTTGCTCCTTGTCTTTAACCACCAATGGTCTTCCTTCTTTTTCTGACCAAGCCACGCCCCTCTTTGGCCTCAGGACTTTAAGCAACTGATGTTCTTTTGTGACTTGAATGTTCAGCCAGCAATGTAAAGAGCTGGCTCTGTCTGTTCCTTTGTATCCTAAAGAGTCCTGTCTTCAGAAAGGCCTTTCTATACCCACCTTCTTTAAAGGGTGCATTCTTCTGCCCTGCCCATTTACTGTATTACCTCAACCTGTTTATTTCTCTTATAGAATTGCTCAGAATCTTTCATCAGTTTATTATTTTATAACTCACCAATTAGAAAAAGTAGGAGGGCTGTTACCAAATCTTTCATATTCTTTATGGCATGTCTTCTGCTTGTTTCAATGACAGATCACAGTTACTGATGCATAGTAGTCCTTCAATGTTTGTTGAATGAATGAGAGAAAGGTGCATGAGTAGACCTTCCTAGTATTAGAGAGATTGAAAATTGGTAGGCAATATACTCTGAAAGATAGGACAGGATTGGAGAGAGAGTCTTGTCAGCAAAGCAGAAGAACTGACTTAATGTGAACACAGGATGAGTAGAGTCTCTTGAGCTGCTCAATGAAAACAGTGGCTTAGGAGGATGCCTTGTTATATATGCCGCCATCTGTGATAAATTAGAAATTTAAACTACTAGCTGCAGAATTTTGTAATTATCTTGAGAAGTAATGAGGTCCCAGGACCCAAGGTATATTTTCCTCCCTGTGGGAATTATACAGCATGGGAATCCAGAGTGTCATGGCTTTCTAGACTATATGTTGTTTAATTAGCTGATTATGGTAAACTATAGACATAGTGTCATAATGAAAATTCTGTAAGGCAGGACCCATATATGTTCAATGTAAGCATATAGCCCATAAGAGAGTTTTTTTTGGCCTTTTTACTATGCTAGGTATCAAAGCCAATGGTGTGTGCATGTTAGCAAGCACAGACCTTTTGAAGAAGGCTGTTTCTTCATCTGTACAAGAAAGCTAAAACATAACAGTGGGTTTTAAAAACTGACTATTGAGATAGGGTCTCATTACGATAGATGCCCTGGCTGGCCTAGAACTTGCTATATAGACCAAGATGGCCTTGAACTCATACAGGTCCACCTGCCTCTGTCTCCTCTATTAAAAGCATGGACCACCGTGCCTGGCATTTTTACTATTTTTAGTTATTTATGTATGCGTGTGTAGGTTTGTGTGCAAGGAGGCGAGAGGGCACTGAATCCCCTGGAGTTGGAATTCCAGGCTGGTGAGAGCTACTTGATCTTGGTACTGGAACCAAACTGGCATCCTCTGCAATAGCAGTACATGCTCTTCACTGCTAAGCCATCTCTCCAACACCCATAACAGGTTTTTAAATGAGAGGTTATAGGAAAAATCAGTAGTACATAGTGATCACTAAGTGAACTCACTCCCCCCCCCCTCCCCAGTTATCCTTAAAGGAAGATTCTGAATTCTCCCTGACTGGTATCTTCTATTAGACTTTTAAATTGATGATGATGATGATGATGATGATGATGATGATGATGATGATGTTTTTTGAGAAAGGGTTTCTCTGTGTAACAGCTCTGGCTGTCCTAGAACTCGCTCTGTAGACCAAGCTGGCCTAGAAACTCACAGAGATCCGTCTGCCTCTGCCTCCTGAGTGCTAGGATTAAAGGCATGTGCCACTAACATCTGGCCTTCTATTGGACTTTTATTTTCCTGAGAGTTGCTAGACTTGAAATAGACAGATCATTGGTTAACATTTGCTTATTGCCATTTTCTCTTTTCTATGAAGAAGCTATGTAATTTACTAGCGACATGACTTTAGAAACCTCTTTTTGTCTCAGTTTTCAAATAAAATGGATACAATAGTACTTGTCTTCTTGCAAAGATCATGTGTTGTGGAATAATCTTTTTGTACACTGTGAAGATGTGTCATTCTCATTGGTTTAATAAAAAGCTAAATGGCCAATTCAGGCACACAGGAAACTGGGGAGAAGAAGGAGTTGCCAGGCAGACAGAGGGGAAGCAGCATGGGCAGTACAGAGTAAAGGTAATAAAGCCACGAGACAAAAGTAGATTGATAAACATGGGGAAATTTAAACTGTAAGAGCTAATTAGTAACAAGCCTAAGTCATTGGCCAAGCTCTCATGATTAACAAGAGGTCTCTGTGTGGTTATTTGGAGCTGGCAGGCAGAAAACAAAATCTGCCTACAATCATGTAAGACTGTACTAGGGTCTGGCACATGGCATTCAATTAGTCTTCAGAATTTTATTCTTCCCTCCACATTGGAACTTGCCTTCTTTCTCTGTAGGTGTTCTCTGTGCCTCTGATCTCTCCTATAGGAAAGGGCTGACTGAGGAACAATATGGGAGAAATGGGTTAGTAGCTCCTTCTAGACTTAACAAGAAATTTAAAATACTTTAGCTTTTAAAAGAGCAAAACAAGCCGGGCGGTGGTGGCGCACGCCTTTAATCCCAGCACTCGGGAGGCAGAGCCAGGCGGATCTCTGTGAGTTCGAGGCCAGCCTGGGCTACCAAGTGAGTTCCAGGAAAGGCGCAAAGCTACGCCGAGAAACCCTGTCTCGAAAAACCAAAAAAAAAAAAAAAAAAAAAAAAAAAAAAAAAAGAGCAAAACAAAACACCCAAAAGAGAAAAACAAGAACATTAGGACACTGGAGAGACACCCTTCACCACCACCCCACCACTCTGCCTTTTGATTTTTTGCCTTGAGACAGGGTCTCATTCTGTAGCTCAGGCTGTCTTGAAACTCAGAATGAAGCCTTTGTTGGCCTAGAATTTTTGCCATTTCTGCCTATGCCTCCCAAGTGCTGGGATTACTCCCATGGGCAACTATGCCTGGATTGAGGTTTTTCCTATACACAGAAGGCTAGGAACGAAAAGGCTTCAACAGTGAACTCTTTCCAGTGGATCTAAGGGGAATAAGTAACGTGGCCGGACTTCACTCATCCTAGCATGCCCGTTGTCTTTCTTCTCATTAGAATTTTCCTTCTTTGAAATTAACAGGTCTCTAGAAAGCAGAGATTAGTCCTTTGTTTCTAAAAAGTGAAGCCAAGGAAAACACTCTTCGTGCGCATGCTGGAGTTCCTGTCATGTGGTTATGGAGAATGTCTTGTCCGTCTTTCCTATTCCCAGCACCTCGTAAGTTGACTAGCAGAATAGGCACCCAAAAAAGTGTTCCAGAATTATTGTAGAACTTTAGTTATCTTTCCCACAGAAGCCGGTGGTGCCCACACTTGGCCACAAACAAGTCCACGCCTAGAAATAACATTCATTCTAAGGCTCTCTGCGCAAAGATTCTTGGGAAGCGGTTCCCAGTCTGCATTCTCCCGCTATTCCTCCCTTGGGTCATCTTTGAAAGAACTGGCACGACTCGCGTTTCCTTCCCTTCTCCCACCTCCGAAGAACCGGCCGAGAATGGGCAGGAGCATCGACCAATCATAAAGCGGTATTGTCCTTCCCAACCAACAGATACAGGCGGCAAGCCTAGAGCTCCGCTTTCGCCACCCTTCATCCCGCCCCTCCCACCTCCTTTTAGATTCGACACTTGACAACTCACCCCACCAATGGGAAGTTCCTACTCTGAGCGAGGGGGCGGAACCAGGCCCGCGACAGACGGCTCCTGCCGACCAATGGGCTGACACCAGTGCGGGAGGGGTGGAAGGCGGAGCCAATGGCGCGGTGCCAATCACGAGCATCAGGGAAAGGGCGGGACGACAGTGTTAGCGGGAGGGAGGGGAAGGCCTCGGGAACCCAGCCGCGCTGCCGCCGCCGCCGCCGCCGCAGCCCGAGTCGGAGGAGGGAGAGACCAGTGAGAAAATGGCGGCCGTGGCTGCTGAGGCGGCGGCGACCGCGGCGTCCCCCGGGGACGGGGGCGCCGGCGAGGCTGAGCCGG